TGGTTGAAACTCTGCTGTTAGGAAGATAAGTAGTTTAGCTATTCGGAGTTGTGAAAATTTGTTCAAAATGCTCTCGGATGCGTCATGCAATATAAAAACTTATGCGCATTCAGGTGTTTATATTTAATTATACTAATTTATCACAATCAAATGAATTTTAACTTGAGCCCGAATGTTGAATTCACTTTTTTTTTACTTTTTCTCTTTCCTCCCTTATTCGAAAAAGGGGAAAAAAGAGAAAAGAGGGGGAGAGGGATTCATCATCACTATTTGACACGCACGAGGAGGTGTATATAGAGATAGCATCCGGAAATAGAATGAAAGGGAAGTCACATATAGTATGCAGATTGAAGAATGCCCAATCGATTAATTATTCGTCAAAGTTTTATTTATTCAATGACTATAATTAAACGGAGATATATAGCTAGAAAAAAACTTCGTTAATTGGCATCAAGCTTTCGGGGGGCTCATTAATCAAGGCTTACTCGAACTATACTCAACAGAAAATAAGAGCTTTAGTTTCGATTCATTGGGATAGGGATAGGAAAAAGTTAATAATTAAGGTAAGAATGAGCATTAATTAATTATAATTTAATAATACTCATGTTTGTAAAGACATTTGACATGTGTCATGTATATTTATTAGATTTGTATAAACACCATATACAAAAAAGTATACAAGCTTTCTCAGAATGTAGTATATTACGTGAGGATATTTTTCTTTTTACGACCTACCTCGATGCTGTTAGATTTCTTTTGGTACCAAGTCACGGACAGAAAAACGAATGCATACTTAATATTTACATTAAATCAATAAATACATATATTATTCTTTAAATTAACCGTTTATTACTTAATTAGGATAACTTATTAAGAATTTGCACATGATTAAGAAAAAGCTTTTAATGACTATTTACTTATTTTACTACTCTATATATTTATGAGTAACATCACGCATTTCTCCTAAAAATTTTGAAACAAAAAAAAAGTTTAAAACCTGAATAAAACACTTTGAATCATGGCAATGATGATAATCAAAGAATGAAAAGTAGAAAAAAGGAAAAATAAACTTAACTCCTCAGCACGTGAGTAGTGCTCCTCCAAAGGTTAAACTAATTAAACTTCAGATTGGCCAAAAATACCCCTTTACTATGCGAAATTAAGGGCATCTGCCCTTCATTAAAACTTTGGCTCTGGCCTACCCCTTCCATTAAATTAATACCTTGGGCTAAAAATGCCTCTTTTTCGTTCCCCACACAACAGAAAATAATTTAGGGACTTTTTATACTAACTAGTCTCTATGTCACGTGCCTCGCACGTGTAATCCCTGCAACTATTATTAAATTTATATGTAAAAACTAATAAACCTTTAACACAATATATCATTCAAAAATATTTATTTAACTTATAAGTTAAAACTAAAGCATATAGGTAGTGCGAGTTCCAGATTTTATTAGTTTTAATTGTTAATTAAATATATTTTTAAGTTATACTAAAATTTATAAGTAAAAATTAAAGCATAAAAATAGTGAGAGTTCTAGTTCTTGTTAGTTTTATTTGTTTTGATTAGATATATTTGAAGTTATATTAAAATTGGTAAGAAGTGATCAACATGATAACAATATTAGCTAGGAATGTCGTATCTAATAAATATCGTGATAATTTGTGTTACATTATTCCAAAATCTCCTTTTTATTAAAAAATACAATATAATAGATAAAAAATAATAGCGGTGCTTAGCATGTGCTAAATATCAAAGAGTTCTATGCGATGTCTAATGAATTTGAAGTGTTCAACATAGAGTTTTCTTCCTAGTATTCCTCAAACATTTGCTAGCGCAGAAAAAAAGCAAATTAGTCAAAAATAAATCAAGAAATTTCCCACGTTCTTCTAGCCTCTGAGAGCTAGGAATGGCGGTAAGTCCACCCCGCATAATTTTAAATGAAATCTCCAATAAGGGGTGGATGTAGCATTACGACGTGAGTTTATGTTAAGAAATTTATTAATATTGCACACAAATAATAGATTTAAATACATAATTAAGAACCTTAAAGATAAAAATAGATTACGTTTCATATTAAAAATCTTAAAGGCGGATCCACAAAGTTTATATCCTAGACCCGCTCTATCTCCAATAGCCGAGTAATTTTATGTTCATAACTTTTGTGTACTGCTCATTGAAAGTTATAAATATTTGATGCATTATGGAGATAAACATTCAGGCTCACCAATTAATAGTGTTATGTTCGCAAAGCTTTCAAAAATTTAACGGGAAAGAAAATAACATGTATTCCTGTATATCTATATGACATATATGTCGGAAAAATTTCATATTAAAACAATTGGGCTGCCTCATTTTCAGCTTTATAGCCCATATTTCAATTTACAATTGAGTAGCCCAAAAATTATAGGCCCATATCTGAAAAAGGAGCGTTAATTCCGTTTTTTTGGGAGTAAAAAGCGGGATTTTCTGCATTTTCTCAGATTCTTTCCAACCTTCTTCCCCAAATACTTCAAAAACGAGATCTTCCCATGAATGCAGCTCCAAAAACCCTAGAATTTCTTCTTCATCTCGAATTAACAACAAATCAAACACGAAAAGTAAAATTTGTTTGCAAATCAACGCAATTTTAGTTTTTGCTTCAATTTTGATTTCCATTTTTTGTTCGATGGAGATTTTTCCAGTTTACGTTCTTCATAGTGGTGAATGGGAAGAAAACAAGTTTATCAATTTCGTCAGCGATTGTGTAATATCGAGTCGACATTCACCTACAACAATTTAGTTGCAGCTATTTCGGAACAGATTAGAATCGATAGTGAGATAAACACAATAGAGATTAACTTTCTCCCAAATGTTGGTTTGCCACCGATCCTGATTTACAACGATACAGGTGTGAAGGTGTATATCGAATTAAAGAAGAAAAACTTGAATTTCACTGAATATCCTTTGTTTGTGACAGTGAAAGAGATATATGAAAATCGTTTGGTTCCTACAAGTTCTAGTTGTGTAGTTGCTACAAGTTCCAGCTGTTTGGTTGTTACAAGTTCAGATTCTAGAGATGTATCAACAATTGATAGCACTGAGATTATTGATATCAAATTTATTGAAAACACGAAATTTAGTGAAAACACGGGTATAATAGATGATATATTGAACGAATTTGTTGAGGAAGATCAAGTTTATAAGGATAAAGAGACAGTTGTCAGTGTGATGAAGAACTTGGCTATACGTGAAAGGTTCCAATTCAAGGTGAAGAGATCAAGCACAACAAGGTATGTAAATAATTGTATATTCTGTTATATATATGTACAAATATGTATAAAGTAGTATATATTTGTATCTAGGTATTAAAATTAGTATATATGTAGTTATGTTTTTGTATACAAGTGTATTTGGAAGTTGAATGATCTTTAATCCTAGGTATCACCTTATGTGTATGGATGAAAATTGTGCTTGGAGTTTCAAATCTTCTGCCGTTTTCAAGTCAAACATATTCAAAGCGAGAAGTTACAATAATAATCACACATGCGGCTATGGTGAAAGATACTTAACACAACGTCAAGCTACTTCGGGTGTGATTGCTAGTATAGTCAAGGACAAGTATGTTAATCCAAAAAAAGTTTACACCGCAAATGATATAATAGAGGACATACAAAAGCAACACGGGATTGAAGTGAGCTACATGAAAGCATGGAGAGCTAAAGAGATAGCAATAGCAATGATAAGAGGGAGTCCGAGTGATTCATATAAGGAGTTGCCGAAGTATTTTTATATGTTAGAGCAAACAAATCCAGGAACGGTTATAAAGTTGCACAAATCAGAAGATGGAAGCTTTCGTTATGCATATGTTTCGCTATATGCATCTATCAAAGGCTGGGAGCATTGCAGACCGATAATGGTTTTTGATGGAAGTTTGCTTCAAGCAGCATATAAGGGTACCATATTGACTGCTTGCACACAGGATGGAGCTGGTGAGTTGACTGCATCTACCTTGTTTCTGCAGTTTGTATAATGTTGTAGTTTCATGTATAAAAGTGTATAGAATTTCACATCTACTGTTTTTATAAAATTGCAGTTGGTATAAAATTGTATAATTGTGTATAACTGTGTATAATATTGTATAATTGTCTGAATCCTAATATCTATTTTGTATAAACAGGAAAAATCCTTCCACTTGCATATGCAATTGTAGATTCAGAGAATAACAAATCTTGGGAGTGGTTCTTTGTCCAGATAAAGGGTACTTTTGGAGTTAGGGAAGGGATGTGTATAGTTTCAGATAGAAATGAAAGCATCTTCAATGCCACAAAAGCTGTGTACCCAGAAGTACCACATTGTATTTGCATGTTTCACTTGTGGCAGAATGTAAAGTGCACATTCAAGAAACATCACAAACAATTGAAGGATATCTTCTTTGCTTTGGCTAGAGCTTACACGGTAGAGAAGTTTGAGTACCATATGACAGAGATGTGCAAAATTGATCCGAGAGTGCAGCCTTACTTGTTCGAAATTGGATACGAAAGGTGGTCTAGGGCATATTCCAAAGTGAAAAGATCGATGGTAATGACTTCCAATATTGCAGAGTCAATTAATGCAGCAAACAAGGATGCTAGAGAGTTACCAGTAATGCGATTGCTGGAGTACATGACAAATTTGCTACAACAGTGGAACAACAAAAATAGAAAAAGTGCAATGGAGACATCTACAGAGCTTGGCGAAAAGTACGATAAACTCCTTCGGGAAAATCTGACTGCATCGGAGCAAATGACGGTAAATTGAATCAAATATAATGATGCTTCGCACTGCTGACTTGCATTTTACTGCTTGTATAAGGATGTATATCTCTGTATAATAATGTATAATGTTCTTTCACTTTTTTTTTAAAAAAAAAACTTTTGCAGGTGAGGCCTGCTAGGAGAAGTGATATACTGTGTTTGAAGGGGTAAGGCGAAACATAGTGTGCCTTGAAGAGGGAACATGCAGTTGTGAAAAATTTCAAATGGATGAACTTCCATGTCCGCATGCTTGGGCGGTTTTGAAGAACCAGCAGCTGAAACCTGGCCAGTATTGCTCTTTTTACTACAAGAAGGATAAACTCCTTAGAACTTATGAATTTCCAGTGAATCCGATGCCAGATGAGAGTCTATGGGTAATCCCAACAGAGGTGATGGAAGATGTGGTCTTACCACCTAAAGGGAGAAGGAATGCAGGAAGGCCAAGAAAGGAAAGACTCAAACCTGCTTCAGAAAAAGAGTCTAAGAGGGCATTTTCATGTTCTGTGTGTGGACAAGGTGGTCACAATAGAAAAACATGTAGGAATCGACCAAAATAGCTAGTTGAAAACATAACACTTCCTATTACATTTGTTGTCATGTTGAGTAGTTAAGTTTCACAAAGAATAGAGTTACAAATGTTGAGTAGTTAAGTCTCACAAGTAATTGAATTACAAATGTCAATAAAGATTTACAACTTACGCTATATATTGCAATTGTGTTAACATTATACATGTTTTGATTATCCTATATATTGCAATTGTGTTAAATATGTTTCATTATACATGTTTTGATTGTCCAATAATAGTGTGTTGCTGTTTTTAATGGTGAAATATATTGATACATTGTACAAATACAAGACAGAACTGCTGGTATTATATGTATACAGATGTATAAATGAGAGTATAAGTTTGTATAAATATGTATAAACCCTGCTACAATAACAAAACTGCAACCATAATGAAAATACATACTTTGTTAAAGGACAAAAGCAACTGATATATTCATTAAAATATAATTCATTCACAGCCACAATGTGTAATGACTACCGTAAATTACACAAAAAAAAAAACATCTATAAAATCCTTTAATGCTATCTCACAAGTAGCAGAATAGTACTTAGACAAAACTAGGCAACAACTCCTGATACATAGAAAAACTACAGTAAAATGGGAAAAACAGAACTACTTTCTCGGTCGCCCCCTCTTCCTCTTCTTGAAAAGTCTCCCTGTGATTTCATCACCACTAATTGCACCGGACTGTTATTTTTTCCTTCCATAATCCCACAACAGAGATCCCCACCTGGTGCGAAGTGTCTCAATGTCAAAATTATCTTTTCGAATTTCCTTACCAAGGATGAAATACTCAGCAAAGCCAGCAACAAAAGCACCACAATCACTGTAATTAAAAAGAAAAAAATCAGATTCAAATAGGTAAACTAATAGTAAAATAGTAAAACAATTGAGATTAACCTACCATTTGATCTGTTGGGGAACATTATTAACCAGATTAATCTGCAAAGCATCAGAATGGGATTTATCGGTATATGCACCATTGTTCCAATCAATGCCCTTCTTCTCGACATAAAAATCAGAACTCTTCAAGAAGTAAGGTATTAGAATTGCATAAGGTAATGCAGCATCCAAAACAAGTCTATCATTAATAGCTCCACGATTAGAATCATAGATGTGGATGCACCTATCTATGAAGGTAAACACCCCCAAAACCTAATGGCCCAATTTTGCTCTTCCGCGCTTCACATAGATAGGGAATAAGACGTGGTCAACAGTGTGCCACGGGACATTTGCATCACAATAATATCCTCTAATGTACTCTTCTATCTCATGCCCTTCAGGAATCACTGAAGGATCTTGATTCACTTTGAAAACTTTATACAGGGAGTTGATTTTGTTACCAAAGGCAAAGTTGGTTGTAGTAAACCGCATGGCAACACTCGGCCCATATTTTCCCCTCTTCCTCAAATAATAAAAGAGGACATCCAAGTGCTGAAACAAGAAATAAAACAGAACAACCATCACTACCAGATATTTTAAATATAGAAATTTATATACTATTATACAGAGGTATACATATTTATACAAGGTTATACAATCTTATACAATGTTATACAATCTTATACCGTGATTATACAAGGCTATGTATACACCATGGGGATCTCAAATAATAAAGATATGCAACAAACAAAAAAAGGCATTAGAACATAAATTTATTAAAGACCGTGTCAATGAAAGGTCGACCACAATATGCAAGTGAGTGGAACCAATCCTTCGTGGTCACATTACACGAGCCAAAAGTAAAAGCTTCCGCAAGCTTATTTACTTCATCGGGATATATATTTTTGGCACTTCAAATCACAAAAAATAAAAAGTAATCAGAACTACATTCATTGACAAGTTTAAAATCAGAACATGAAAGATTAAAGAAAGTGAAGATACCTTCGCCTCGTATCCATCCCATTATCAACAAACGCGCAAAACTCTTTAGCCAATGGCGACAATGGATCAAAATCGTTAATTTCGATCGTGAAAGGATGCTTGATATAAAAAATGAGCTTGGGCGCCGATCCTGATGCCCCCGAATCAAAAACTGGCAAATATGGAGATTTGGCATATTTTCCTGGTATTTTCTGTCAAACTGACTTTTCAGGAGAAATGAAATCATCTTCTACGTCTATGATGGATTGTTTCTGAAGCACAATTTGGGACATCTGTAGCATAGCTAAATCTTCATCGCCAATGTCATCCCAAAATGTGTCACCCTTGACATCACCTGCTGCCCCTTAGATGGAGAAAACAAATAATAAAAAACATTAAAATGAAGAAAAGAAAAATCAGACAAAAAAAAGAAGATAAAATGTAGAACAAATACCATGATCAACACCATCAGTAACTCCCTCGTCAGCTAGCACGTCATCTTGATTCACTTGATTGACAAAGTCAGGAACAACATCATATTGATAGCCATCATATTCGCTAAGACCAGATGTATTGTCATCAGACACGCGCTGATGAATATAATAACAAACAATAGAAAGATAAGGCATAACTGTTGAGTGATGATTCAGAGAAGGCATAACTATTGAGTGATTTGGTTTTATCAGTAAACAATTACCTTAGAATCAGTAAAATCCTCCCTCGTTTGCTTGGTTTCCTTCATATTCAGAAAATTGAACACTTTTTCAAAGGAAGAAACTACATAATTGTTGAGTGTCGTCACTGTATCAGTCAACTACAACAACAACAAAAAAAAATCAACAAAACCATGTTTATAACCAAAAAATCATGTATATACAAAAAGTACTGATAAACTACAGAAAAGTTAAAGATCCAGTATCTTTCCAACAACACTTCTCAACTTCTCAACTTCAGCATTCAACAGATCAATGCGCACCAAAGGATCATAACTCGGGTTAGGCCGTCGATCCATATTCTGAGCAAAAGGTCGTTTAGACTGCTGCTCCGTATTCTGAGGATAAGGTCGTTTAGACTGTTGCTCCATATTCTGAGGACAAGGTGGAGATGCAACGACAGAATCATCAGTGTGAAAGGCAGGCACCACATGCACATCCCCTGATGCAACATCATCGACATTAACTTCAAAAAGCGTGTCGATGTTCAGAGTTGACAGCTCTTCACGAGTAGGGGAAATGTTCCTATAGTTCAACTACAAGAAAAAAAACTGGATTACAATGGTAGAAAAAGGAAATTGTAACATATTCATAAATATACATACAGAAAAACTGAAATCATATATGAAGAAGTATTATGGTACAAAATGTTTACCTTGTCGATACTACACATGATCACCCCGCCAGTCAAATCCCCATATGTTGGAGTTTCAGTCACTTTTCAATTAAGAATGCGTGGCACATTTGTTCCAACGCGAACAGCTAGATGCTTGTCAACAATAGAGCAACACTCAAAAGACCATACTTGTAATGCAAGTGGCAAACCTCCAAGTCTATACATTGTCAAATAGTCACGCTGTCTGTCCCTCATTGTCCTTAAAATATCTTCAAATAACTTTTTTCCCCAAGAATACATCTGATATTGACCACTTTCAATGATATCAAATCATCTTTGTTGATACCATGATTATTGGCATCTGAAAATATGAAATGATGGACAAACACCATCAAGGTCATCTTGAACGCATCTTCGTCCGACTTCCAGTTCTTTTTCTTGAAGCGATCAAGAAGCTCCCCCCTAGTTATAGCCTTTTTTCCATCTCCTGGAAAATACTCTTTTAGCAACCTATTAACATTTGGTTTGTCATAGAAAGTGGCATCGTCGTATACACACTTCAAACCAGTGATAACAGCAAACTCTCCAATACCAAAACGCAACAAATAACCATTAATTTGCACCCACAACTCCCTTTCACGTCCTGGGACGACTTCCCTCAATAATATACAATGAATAAGTTGATTTTGAATTTTAAATTGAGGGAGGTCCAAGAAGTACCCAAAACAACTAGCACGGAACATCTGAAGCTGTGTGTCAGTCAAATATTGCTTCAAAATGCTCACAATCTCAGTCTCGGTGTGGGAGCTAATCCTGTTGTGGAAATAATCAACTGGTTGTATATAGAAGTCCCCAACCTTGAATAAGAAAAAATAACAAGAAATAGATCAGGAACAAAAATTATACTAAAACATTTTATAAAAATATATAAATAAGTATAGCAGAACTTGTATAAAGATGTATAAACAACTGTATAACTTTGTATAAAATTGTATAAGCATGTATAAATTACTAGCAACACAGGGAATACCTTCAACTGAGCTTTTCTCTCATTCAATTTGGAGCGAATAGCAAACCTTTGTTCTTTCGATAAGGAATTAAGGCCACTATCACCATCATCCTTGATCTTTCTCCTTTTCGGCTTAACATTGCGGCCTACATCATCTTCGTTAACCAAATCAACTTTCAGCTTTTCTTTTAATTTTTGAGGTCTCCCACATTTCTTACTCCATATTCTAACAATGTTAACCGGAGTAGGAGTATTACTTGTTTGCGACCGGGTCACTCGAGTGCTCCCTTGTTGCAACTTTTTTGGAGGAGGAGGAGACTCAAAATCATCATCATCGGGATCCCAGACATGCGTTTTCGCTTCAGAAGAAGGCGGTGAGGGCAAGTCACTCGATGATTTAACTGGAGTGGGAGTATTTCTCGTTTGAGAACGAGTCATCCGACTGCTCTCTTGTTGCGAATTTTTAGGAGGAGCATGAGACTCAAAATCATCACAGTGTGGCGCCTGGACGTTTATATTAGATTCAGAATCAGGGCTTGAAGGCAACTCCCTCAATCTTTTCGCATAATCAAACTTAACGCCTTTTCCAGCAACCTTCATTTTGCTTTTAGAAGCGGCTACTTTTGAGCGCATTTTCTACAATAAACCAAACAACCAAAGCTTTAACAAAATTGAAGACAACTGAAGGAAAACACAAAAATTAAACTGTAACAAAACTCAAAGTTTAACCAAAACTAAAGGCCATGAACACAAAGCAGAGGCCAATTTTCCCAAATTGTAACAAAAA